TTATTCATTTTCAAGATATTCTAACTAGACATTTCCTCTTTCAGATGAATTATAGAATCACCTATGACACTCAAAAAATAGTGATGTGTCTATGTGCGTGCGTATACGCTTCCATATATATGCGTCTGCACGTGTGCACATCTGTATGTGTGTAAGGGTCTGTATGTATATGTGTATATAGCTCTGTCCACTGAGGGGACCTGAGAGCAGAGATACAATGGTAACACCAGACACACTTAGCACTTAGATCTTTGTTTTTAAAAATTGTTTTCCACTAAAAGGAACCAGAGATTTTTGGAGACCTGGCTAATTTCAAGACTGGGTCAAGACAAGTAGAAGATGAACCTAAACATCTGTTTTGACAGAAAGGAAGGAAATGCTCAAAGAATGAATGGGGTTTGTCAAATGGACACAAGAGCCAGCATGAAGAGGCTCCCATTGGCCCTGTCTGGGACAGTGTGACATCAAAATAAATGGCATAGTAATGGATTACACCCACTGAATAAAGCAGTACCAATAAATAAGTAAATAAATTGAAAGATTGATGAAGAACAGGATATGTACATAGTCTCAAAGTATATCCCCACAAAATAGTCACTAATTACAAAGGAAAAAGGTAACTTGATAGTGGAGAAGCCTGGTAGACACTGCCCTAATTATTAGAGTTAATATCACCATTAATGGGACAAATTGAAAACATTTGATACAAAGAACACATCATCGCTTCTATGGTATTCTTGCTGAAGATGCATAACCTATTTCTAATCATGAGAAAACATATTCATCTAAATGAGGGACATTCTGCACATATTAAATACATGTATATAATATACTATATATTGGAATAAACAATTATTTTCTTTTAAAATACATATTTGATATGTTTTCTTTTTTAAGATAGAAATCCTTCCAGATCTTTGTAATATACACAAATGCTTCCAGAAAGTTCCCTGATTATTTACAAGTACATGTGTATAACACATATATTTTTAAATATGTTAACTCTATCACTCATACTGTTTATGACATTCTACATTTGCCATACATATAGATTCACCTCTTCTTTAAGTATTCTCAAATATGGATACACCAGATCATAATAGCTATTTCTCTTTGATTGCCATCTGTTTCCATCTTTTTACTCTTATAAACAAAGCTTAATGATCATCCTGTACATGCTCATAGTAGATTACTTTACGTGTTTCTCTAGAGAGAAGATGGTCAATAAAATTCCTGGGTCACACTTTACATTTTAATAGCTATTTCCAAATTTCCCTCTTAAGCGGTCACCAATTTAAGCTTACAGGGAATATTCACAAGAGAAATCACAATACACACAAAACTCAATGACCTGTCCAGTTTAATGTTGAATGCGGCTGAGACTGACAGCTATCACTCAGTATCTGTCATCCCTTCCCACTGTAGTAATACGTTATTGAGCTTGGCACTGTCTATCTGCCTAAAGTCTACGTTTCCCGAGCTCCCATGCAGCTAAGCATGGCCATATCATTAAAGTCTGGTCATAGAATGTGAATGGAGGTGACATGTTCAACTTCTGGACAGTTCCTTTAGGAGAAAGGAGTAAGCCCTACAGCTCGTTTCCCCAGCCCCACTGGCTGTAATGAAGATGTGATGACTGGAGTTAGGGCAGCCACCTTGGACTGAAAAAAAAGGAAGCCATTGATGACAGCAGAGCAATAAAACAGAAGGACTTTAGATCCCAGAAGATTGTGGAGCCACCAAACCTGCCATCAAGTGCCTACCCAGACTTCTAAGTGAAAAAAAAAAATCAAATAAAAGCCACCTTGGGGAGATGTCTGTCACTGCAGCCAAACTGATATCCTAAATAATCCAGTCACTGAATGCTGAAAGAAAATTATCTGCTAAGTGAAGAAATCATCTCAAATTGAGATCATAAAAAGATTATTTTATTTGACCTCCCCTGTATTTCTGCGAGGAAGCAAGTTTCTATGTTGGTATTGAACTGCCATCAATGTTGTAGATTATTAAAAATGCTTATTATAAGATTATTTTATTCCCCTTGGGAATTTGTCTACACTGTTGGAGAGGGCAGGCCAAGGGATTCAGCTCTGCTGAAGGAACCAGGAAAAAATGCTGTCCAAACCAACTGGGGTTTTGGCAATGAATGCACATTTGTTCACCAGTTCAGCATTTGTCCAGATTCCACTGTTTTGAAAAATTAAGTGGTTCAGTATTTTAAGTTTGTTTCTAAGCCCAGTGTAATGAATGACCTTTCTTCTCCTTAGGTCACTGAAAAGAATTTTCTTGTGTTTGTGGCTAATTCCTCAATGGCGGAGGCCCAAATAAGGGGACAGGAGAGACGCTTAGGTCAAAAATAAATATGGAATGAGAGAAGGATCCTGGATTTCCTGTGCTCATTCCATTTTCAATCATCCATACTGTTATATGTGAGTCTGAGTGAGTTTTGTATACAGAATACAGAATGAATTACTAAAATTACAATTTACTAAAGCTAGTTTTCCCCCTTCAGTTTTTAAGTTTCCTTTTCAAATCTATCGTTCGATTTCTAAGAACAGAAGAACAAAAATCAGCCATTGTTTTTAAGGAAGTCATTGATTAATATTTGGTCTCATTGATAAACGTAGTTAATTATATGCTTTCAAACATTTTAAACTGCACTTCTAAATTTGATATTTCAGATTTTCCTTGCGAGTGCTTCACATTTCTACTTATTCAATCAGCCCAACATTTCTACTTATTCAATCATTCTTTTGAATCTAATAAATCACACTTATACAGCAAACCTTAACTTCTCTTTAGCATTCCAATGATTGCATATAAACTTAGTAAGACTTTAGTTTAAAAATTGCATGTTTAAGCAATGATTCAATTACATTTTAAATTATAATCAACTAGTCTGGCCAACGAGTTACCTGAATAGTCCTATGTCTCTTAAACATAAATCTCTTAAAGTATGCAAATTACTAAATATGAACAGATTCTTTCTTTTAAAAATGTATTAATATGATGATTTTGGCCCTGTCAAATATTTCGAGTTTATTTCTGAATCTTATCTCAGTTAAAATATGCTAACTGATAAAATTACTTCCCTACTTTGGACATTTCTGTAATTAACTCTAAATATTCCTGGGGTTTAAGGATGCTTGCCTTCTAGGGAGATGATTATCTACAGGTAGCTGAGGTTGCTTTCAATTAGACTGGGGTCCATGGATCGAATTCAGGGGTCTGTAAACTCAGATTTAAAAAATCTATTTTCACTTCCAATAGATTTAAAAAATCTATTTTCGCTTCTAACTGAAATTTAGCATTTCTTTCAAATATGAATGTGGCAGCAAACCACAGTAGCATTAGCAGGACCTGTGACTCTATCACCAATAGAAATCACAGGCGTTATGTCACCTTAAGGTTGTTGCAAATACCTTGAAATATCTCAGCACTGCTTCCAAATTATGGAAGTTATTAGGTCTGCCGCTAGATCTTATTTATTTAATGCATTAATAAAGAAACTCATATGACTATAGCACAATATTTTAATGTTTTTATTGCAGTACAATTGAAAAAAAACCCATAACTATTTCATTTGTACTTTGTCTTCATTCAATCACTATTATTGAGTGCCAACCTGTGTACCAGGCACTGTTCCAGGCACTGGGGATACAGCTATGAGCAAAACAGTCAAGTCTCTGCTGATATTCTGGTGGGAGAGACAAACAGTGAACAGATAAATCGGTAAATATGTGGTGTAGTGTGTGGAGTGATAAATGCGTGTGCTAGCTAAGGACAGCGTAACAAGGATGCTATTTTGGACAGAGTGTGTGTGTAGGGGGGCTCCTCTCTGATGTAGAGACATTTGAGCAGGGACCTGAATGAAGTGAAGGTGAAAACCACAGGGCTGTGTCACGATGGGGTGGTGCAGGCCAAGGCAACAGCATGTAGGGGTGTCACGAAATTTTCTCTCCATAGGGAAATAAGCATCTCCCACTGAACACTGGGTGATCCTGAAATTCTGACGCTCTGCCTGAAAATATACCCGAGTTGCTTTCTTGCGATTTTAAATGAAAAAAATGATAACGAATGACATGTCGACCCAAGCACTAAAATAAATTTCAAAAAATGGAACTAAACTCTTAAAATGCTTACCAAGTATCAAGCTAGCTTGTTAGGATATAAAATGCTAAAAGCCTGGTTTCCGAATCACCAAGTGATTACTAAAGTTTTCAACAAGCAGTTGACGTGTATGTGATGACACGGCTACATCCGTTTGCACGTCTCCTTCTTTCCTTCTTGGTGCATGCTTCGGAACGTGGTTCAGATGTTCTTTCAACAGCAGTTGTAAACTTACTTTCCTTGTGTGTGATTTCGATAGAAATGTTATATTAAGTTTTCGGGATATAAATATAAATTTTTCTTTATAAACACTGGTCCGAAATTGTGAGAAACGTGCCTTCTATGAAGGTTGGGTATTAAAGACAAAAAGATGGTCTGTTGGGAAACTTTTTACTAAGAAAATGTTCAATGTTTGCTTTATTTGTGTTCTTGGGTTAGAGAGGATATGAGATATACATATGGTGGATGATTATATATGGCTATATGTGTGATATATAATAAAAATTTCCTTTTTCTTGGGTGAAGGGTATTTCATATTTCAGGTGTTAGCAAAAAGCCTGACGCCCACGTCTACATTGTATGACATATTACTTTATCTGTAAGGACTCATGGGAAAACTTCTCTCCTGGACCAATATTAGGAAAAGTTCTAATTTGTTCCAGTAGTTCTATTTGTTTCTATCATATGGGCATTAGGAATCATAAACACAGTGAAGCGCTTTGAAATCTATGGCTTTCGATCTTGGCTTTGCAGAGTTTGGGGGGTTCCTTCAAGACCCTTTACAACTACCTTCAGGAGAAAGGTGCGATGCATGAGGTTGGGCCTAGGATTCTTTACTTTCTTTTTCTCATACTGAGCTTCTGTGATTTTTTTCTTCTTAATTCATCTATAAAAATAAAGAACACTTCAAGAATTTGCATGTCATCCTTGTGCAGGGGCCATGCTGATATTTTCTGTATTATTCCAATTTTAGTATAGGTGCTGCTGATGTGAGCACAACATGGTTACTTTTGAATGAAAGAAAGTTGAAAGCCATTGATATAATTGATTACATTTTCCTCTTTGCATTGGCTGCCAGGAAGCTCAGCATCTGAGTCTCAGTCTATCACTGATAAGTGTTCAATACACTCTAGCTTACATTTTGTATGCAAACCTCACCCTTAACTTTCATTTCTTTTTCTTCCTTTTTCTCTCTCTTTTTTTTTTTTTTTTTTGGTATCTTTTTTCTGTTGCGATATACATGTTTTCATATGCTGCCTTAAATCCTTTTTTGGAATGAGTCAAGGTTGAAATAAATGCATTAAAAAAATCGAGTACTTTTTCTACAGAGGAGATCTTTGCAGGTGGGATAGGAATGCGTATAGAAATAAGGCATGATTTGGCATGGAGAATACACATGTGTGTTTGCAGGATATGTATATACATGTTGGACACATTGTGAAGTTTGTAGTTTTCAAGGTTGGCTGGTTTCTGGCTTCAGAGGACACTCGCTTGGAAGACTCTGGGGGCAGAGGGAGTATTTTATTCCAGGGTAGGCGTGCCTGTGGTCTACACTCCAAAGAATCTGCTTTACGGTTTAGCATTTTCAGATTTTGTCTGGGCTTATTATGCTAGTCATTATAGAATGAATCCAAATGCTTAAGAAGAAATCAAGGGAAAGAAAGGGACAGAAAGGGGGCACTCCTGCATAGGAAGGCGGCTGGCTTTTAAGCGGTCTTGAATATGAATGGGAGTCTTAAATCCTGTCTCAGCTTCTACTTTATCTGCTGTGAATCTGACATCAAGTCCTTATCCTCCCAAAGACAGGGCTTCTCACCCTCTGCTGCACATGAAATCACCAGGGGAGCTTTAAAAAATACTGATGCCTCAGTCTCTCCCCCAGAGTCTGGTTTAATTGGTCTGGGGTGGGGCCTCAGCATGGGGATTTTTAAAAGCTTCCCTGGAGAGTCTAATGTACAGCTGAGGTTGAGAACCACTGCCCTAAGAGAAGGGAAAAAAATAAAATTAATAAGCACCTGCCTCCTGTTGATCTCTCAGAGGGTTGTGGGGTGTGGCTGTGATGTATGAGATAATGGGCCAGATTCTGGTGAAGAAGTAAATGGCTGGAAGGAAACGGATTAACCCTTTGTGTTCCATAGAGTACCCTTAGTTAATAAGCATTTTCCCAAGGATCTGCAAGAAGAAAGACATTTCACATCCTGACCCTGCACACACACACACACACACACACACACACACTTCTCCTTCGCAAATCATGAAATTCACTTGGTATTTTTTATTTCTATCTATTCTAGTCTATTCCATTCTATTCCTTTAGAGGAAAAAAAAAAATTCTGCTTACCACTGTTTAAACAACATCGTATTAAGGCTCATGAGCCAAGATAAATTAAACACCTCTGGAGAGCATTAAGACACTCAGCTGATAATGACTTGGAGCTTCTTGCAAAGATGTGATGAAAAGTGAAGTGGTGTGTGCAGTAATAATATTTGTTGAGCAATTGCTAGTGCCAGTGACAGTCATAGTAGAAAGTGTTTTATGAGCATGATCTCAGTGAATTGTCGCAATGACAATAATATAGTATGGGTACTATCATCCTCATTCTAGGTATGAGAAAATCGAGGCCAAGTACCTATGTACGTTCTGCATCTAGAAAGTAGAAGAAGAGTCATCTTCATCCAAGAGCAACAGGTCTAAGGCTTACCTGGCTCATGGGAGGAGAACAACTGTACTTACTAAATATGTTTGTTTGTAGTTTTGAGAACAGAAAGGGGACGGAGTAAACTATGACCAGAGGTGCATCCAGCCGTAAGGGGGCCTGCTGCATACACGATTTGGAAACTTTATTTAAGAAAAAGAATACCAAATTGTAACTCCAAAACTACGTACGAAAGTGAATATTTCTTTGAATTAAGAGAAGAAATCACAACAAATTCCGATTTTAAGAAGCTGAAAGATACAACGAACATCACAAAGTCCCAACTCGACTTTCCTTTAACTGGATCCCCAAAATACCAGTGACCACTCCATGCCACCCTACTCAAGGTCAGGTACTACACTGGGGAATCTGAATAGAAAGAGACAATGGTCTATGCTGATTGCTGCTAAATGTCAAAAGCAAATGATTTTTGTAAATTTTACATGAGCAAGTGACCATGTGAACACATTTCTAGGCCCCTGTCAGGACCTCAGAAAGGGGCCCAGCAAGTGAGGGGCTCAGGAGCTTAAATTTCACCAGCCTCCCAGTAACCCCACAACTAGAGCTGAAGCCTCTATATTCCATCTCAAATTCAAAGGCTTTGGAGTCAGCTGGACCTGAATGTCAGCCCTGGCCCAGCCACTTTCTGCCTTCTTTGAACTTAGACTTGATCATTTGTTAAAGCTTCTTACCTTTCAGTCTCTGTTGGGGATTAAAGGAGATGAGAAAAAGTTGGGCTTAGAGCTGCCAGATTTAGCAAAGAAAAATATAAGACACTCAATTAAATTTGAATTTCAGAGAAACAGCAAATACTTTAGGGTAAGTATGTACCATCTATTGCACGTATTTATACTAAAACTTATTCCTTGTTTCTTTGAAATTCAGATTTATCTGGGCATCCTGTATTTTATTGAGCTTAACGAATGGCAGTGGTTGGTATTATTTTGGGACTGAAACATCTTGAGTGTCCCACAACAGGGTTCATAAACGTTTGAAAGTGGGTGAGGGGGAAAAAATGCAGCCTAGACTCTAAGACAGTTGATTGTGGGGGAAGATTGAAAGAGGCAGAATGAGAGAATAACCTGCCTTAATTTGAGGGTGAGCGTGGAAAGACTTATGTCAATTAAGTTCTTAGGACCTCAGTTTCCCTATTTGTACAACGGGTGAAAGGAGCTCCCTGAATTCTCCTCCCGAAGATATCATCAGTAATGGCACTTTCTCATAATACAGGTGTCACCTCCTCAGAGAGGTCTTCTCCGACTACCCTAGCTAAAATCACCGACCCCTTGACACAGCGCACAATGTTCCCCCTGCATAGTAGTTCTGCCTTGATTTTTCGCTTCATTGTTTGTTTTATGGTCTTTCTCCCCATGTGAATGTAATTCAGGGAGGGCGGAAAACTAGTCTGTCTTGTTCTAGCTGAATCTCCCAGGTGCTATACCTGGCATAGTAGATGTTGGATAATATATGTTGAATGAATGAATGAATGGGTGGATGAATGAATGAATTCAGTGTCATTGTTGAGGTTCCTTCTAAGCAGTCTTCCCTTTCTCAGGGGCCTTGCCTGGGTTGCAGAAGGAGGAGGTGTGGGGTGTCGGTGGGTGGGGAGGAGGCTGGGCCCTCGCCTCCTCCAGGACCGGCAGGAGCGAGCGTGCTCGGTTGGGCTGCAGGCGCAGAGAGCGGCGCGGCGGCAGCTGAAGGGCCGGAGCCCCGCGTCCAGCAGTCGACCAGCTCGTTTGGCTTCATGCGCCTGCTATGTGTCAAGCACCATACCGTGGACAAGACAGCTACAGAGGTCTTCCCAGAGCCTGACCTCGAGACGGAAGAGGGACACTAAACATAATCACACGAACGGCCACTTAAGAGGCAATCCCCTAACAGACCGGGGGCCTGTGATCCTCCAAAGTAGTTTGACGCCCGCAGAGAAGGTGATCTCAAACACTCTCTGATGCGCCAGCCCGTCCGCAAGCACCGCGCCGGGGCGCCCTCTCCACCGCGCTCGGTGAGTACCTCCCGCGGCGCCCACCCCTGGCCGCCCGCGGGGGTTCGCCGAGCAAAAAAATTCGCCTTGCGCCTCTCTCCGGCACTCACCGGGCCCGGGCCTCCGCAGCTGTCGGGGCGCTCGGGGGCGCACGGGCCGGATCGAGGCACCCGGGCCTCCCAGGGCGCCTCAGGCACGAGGGCAGAGGGGACAGCCTGCACATCTTCTTTCGAGAAAAGTCCGTCCCAGGCTCCGGGCCTCAGTTTCCCCGTACGCTTGGAGGGGGGCGGGGTGGCAACGACCCTGAAGTTTTCACTCCCGCGCGCGGGACAAGTGCATGGCGCGCAGGCGGTGTAGACGCGGCTGGGCTGACTACGTTTGGTTGGTTTTAAAACCGGTTCGCTATGAGGGCGCTTCCTCTGTCGGACCGAAGAGGCACCGTGAGCCGGGATCCCAACTCATGCCCTTGGGCGCTGTTTACGGGGTAACCGAGGAGCAAACTTTGGGGTCCGCTGGATGGGGCTGGAACGGCCCGTTGAGCCTTCTCCTTGTAGCCACATATCTTTTTTAAGTTCTGTCTGCGCTCGGCCTGCGCTGGTCCAGCTCTCCGGGTTTTGTATGCTTGCTGAAGTTGGAGTTGAAACTCAAAAAAACTTTGCATCCAAAGGATGCTTAGGAGATAAGGGTTTTGTTGTCATGGGAGAAAGTGGAGAATGGAACTGATTTTTAGGCGTGCAGTCTGGAGGTTGAGCCGCCGTGCTGGCCCTAGCTCCTTAAGGATATTTCCTGCCCCAAATAAATAGTTTACAAATGTAAAGAATACCAAGAAAGCTTGACTGGTAAAAGTACTCACATCACAAAATCCCCCATGTGCACGTCTCAGCTGTTGACGGTGAAGCGCCTTGGGCGTGCGAAGTCCCTGCTACCTCGGCTAAGAGTGATGGATACAATTTTCTTTTCTTACCCCTTTCCCCGAAATGCTATGTAATTTTTAATTACTTTTTTTTTTTTTTTTTGGTAACATTGAGGTATAAATCACCCCCGGTGGAGGTACCTTTTAATTACGAAACGCGGTGAAATGAGTGAACATCGGAGTGGGGAGTTGTTCGCCAGAGCAGAGAGCGGAGGTAGAATGATTTACAAACATCAAGTAAGAATTTGAGTGCTGAATTATGTTTGAGTTAGGGAGCGCCCTTCCAAAGGAAATTATGGCCAGCGGACAATTGCTATATTTCAAACCGACTGTATTAATTTCATGAGCCCTTCCTTTCTTGCTTGAGTGAAATTTCTATCACCAGAGTATGAGCACTGAGCTAGCTA